ATACATACATACATACATACATACATACATACATACATACATACATACATACATATTAATAAGTAAATAAGATTTTTATATATAACAGACATAATTTTATATTAAAATTTGTTTAATTTACACAGACTGCTTGTTTCCAAGAAGAAAGAGAAGTTTTGGTTCATGGAGACAAAAGGTGGATAACTAATCTTCATTATTCTTTCCAGGATGATAGCAATTTGGTAAGCAAAATGAAAAAGTTATTAATTTTAATTAATATTTTTCTTAATAATAATTGACTCTTAATTATTACTTGACTGTTACTCTTCAAGTTTGATTTCTGATGAAAATAATTTGAAATCATAATGTTGAAAATGAGTTAAGAATGATGTTTAAATAGCATATTGATGTATCAAATTTTTAAAGTATTTAAGTAGAAACATTTTTGCTGGTTCTTCTTTCCAGAAATCATTTTGAAAAAAACTATCTGATTTTATCTACAAAATTTCCATAAAATAATTATTGAATTTTTCATTCAATTTTTAAGTTGTTTAGATTAGAATAATTTGCCTTATTTCAATGTATTTTTTCTGAATGAATAAGATACATTAATATGTAGATACTGTAACTGTTATTTTTATTTAAAAACATTTTAATTTTCAATGATCAGCAAATGAATTTGTTAAAACAAATTGTTAAATTCTAGTAAAAATTTTTCTTTAGCATATTTCATTTTGATATACATATAAAAACATAAACACAAACAAATATTTTATGTTATATATATGTATATGTTTTACTGGTCACTTAAAGGTTTTTGTGAGTCTATTATATGTATATGCTACTATGAATGACTGATATCTGGTGAATGCCAACATTCTCCGGTGAATGTCAGCATTCACACAGCTGTTTCGTGTATGTGTTACTGTGAAAGACCGAAATTAGAGAATGTCGATATTCTCCGGTGAATATCAACACATACAAAATACGTCGGTGAAAGTCCGAATATTTGGTTATATTATTATACATTCGAACAATCACCAGTGTATGTCGACAAGCACAGATAAGCTTTGGTGGAAATCGAAACAACACCCAAGATGCCAATGTCGACAGTCTGTCGCCTCTCTGTCGACATTGCATCTTCTATGGGTAGCCGGAGGTAGGACAAGGTCTTTTGATCCTGTGAGGTGAGGATCGGTTTGTCAGGTCGAGTGGCGGAGGATGAGAGAGGTCGTCGGTAAGGCGTCGGCTATATCTGAATAAAGGACACCATTAACAGATCAGTTCGTAATCACGTAATAACGTAATCAGTTCGTAATCACGTAATAACGTAATCAGTTCGTAATCACGTAATAACGTAATCAGTTCGTAATTTGTAAAGAAAAGTTACTTTCCATAGATGAGATTTCTTCTCAAGAAATATCGCTGAGAGAAGCAGCTGCAGCTAATTCGAAAAGTGGAGGGCAAGACTATACATGCTGTCATTACAAAAAAAAAAGTGTTCCATGAATAAATGCAGTTGTAAAAGCAAGGGACTCTTGTGCAATTCAAAGTGCCGTAACAGTTTAAGTTGTTGCAATAAATAAGATTGTATAACGTTAATCACATAATTTATGTGTAAGTTTATTATTGTATTATTTTCTTTAATGATTAAGAGTGTACTGTTCGTTTTAGATTCAACAGTTTATTTAAATGTGTTGTTACTTAAGCTTTCTCCTACAGTATTTTCACATACTAAAATGTTGCATTTTTGTCTTAACGTAATAAAAATATTTTTATTCAACATTCACCATCAGTGCATGCTGAATGTTGACATTTGCCAGTGTAAGTGAGAAATAATGATATTTAGCAAATATTTCATATATACATGAAACGACTGTGTGAATGTTGACATTCGCCAGATATCAGTCATTCACAAAATAATGATATATAGCAAATATGTACAAAATATTTGCTATATATCATTATTTCTCACACTGGCAAATGTTGACATTCAGCATGCACTGATGGTGAATGTTGAATAAAAATATTTTTATTACGTTAAGATAAAAATGCAACTTTTTAATATGTCAAAATAGGAGAAAGCTTAAGTAACAGCACATGTAAATAAACTGTTGAACCTAAAACGAACAGTACATTCTAAATCATTAAAGAACATAATACAGTTGTCCCTTGATAATCCAACAGGTATGGGACCAAAGGTGTGTCAGATTACCAAAAGTGTCCGGATTACCGAAAATAATTACATATTTTGCATTGTTTTGCTAGCAGTAACTTACAATATTCTCTACTCCAACTGTTCGAACAGAACTGCTCACATAAAACACACGAAGTTTGTGTCATCGAGTAAGAATTGGATGGGGAGATTCACATCGCCACATGCTTCTGTGCAAGCAGACACGTAATGGGGACGAGTAAGAATTGGATGGAGAGATTCACATCGCAACATGCTTCTGTGCAAGCAGACACGTAATGGGGACGGGTACCTTGACGGGAGGTGCGTCGGACTACTGAGCATGTCGGATTAAAAAACGTTGGACTATAGAGGGACAACTGTACACATAAATTATGTGATTAACGTTATACAATCTTATTTATTGCAAAAACTTAAACTGTTATGGCACTTTGAATTGCACAAGAGTCCCTTACTTTTACAACTACATTTATTCATGGAACACTTCTTTTTGCAACGACAGTGTGTATAGTCTTGCCCTCCACTTTTCGAATTAGCTGCAGCTGCTTCTCTCAGCAATATTTCTTGAGAAGAAATCTCATCTATGGAAAGCAACGTTTCTTTACAAATTACGAACTGATTACGGGTATAAAGCGGCTTGATTTTTGTTTGCTAATTTATAAAAGTCTTAGTCTTCTATTCCAACAACAACCGCCAACACATTTCAGGCATCTGTATGGCCATGGTCGACATCAGGGACTTGTATTCGTACGGTATCACCAATTTGAGCAGAAGGAAATGGCAAAGAATTTGGTGACAGACTGTCGCCTCTCTGTCGACATTGGCTTCTTGGGTGTCGTTTCGAAGTTTATCTGTGCTTGTCCACCACCAAAGCTTATCTGTGCTTGTCAAATACACCGGTGATTGTTCGAATATATAATAATATAATCAAATATTCGGTCTTTCACCAACCTATTTTGTATGTGTCGACATTCACCAGAGAATATTGACATTCTCTAATTTTGGCCTTTCACAGTAACATATACATATAATTTAAAATTTTTCTGCTTATTTTTTTTTATAATCATTTTTAATTCATATGAATTCCTATTGTTTTTATTTGTTTTGATCAGTTTAACAATTTAAATTAATCTCTTCAAGTGACTTACTAATGTAAAAGTAAACTAAAAATAATTTTATAGAATAATCTCTTGTAATCAAAGAATAATTATATAATTTTACAAAAAATATCTTAAATGTAGCTCATTTATAAAAAAATTTTTTAGGGAAACCTATTTAGATATATATGTAAACCTCTTTTTTTTTATATCCATTTGTTAGTTGTTTGAGTTAATTCAGTGAAATGATTTCTAGAGTATTTTTAAAGTAACTATTGCTTAAAATTATATCTTAAATTTATCAATTTTAAGATGATCATAGAAGTATTATAGAAGTACCAATAGAATTTAGTATAGAAGTATCAATTTTAGATATGTTTTTAAGTATGCAGTAATACCTCAATTAGCACTGAAGATATAATAAAGTACCAATTTATTAGATATACCCACCTAATAGCAAGTGGAACCTCATTTTTCCTCAACAGTTTGTCATGTTGGTATGGAGGACCAGTGGTGAATTCTTCAATTTTGCCTTTACTATTGAGCAGCACATTGCCTTACTGCTGATGTGTTAGTTTGGGAAGCTGTCTTCTCTAAAGTTGGTCATCCTTAGTAAGTGGTACAAGGAACATTGATGGCACACTAGTACATTAAGGAAATTCTACATTCTCATATGTTGCCTTTTATGGCAGGGCTGCAGACAGCCATTTTCCATAAAATAATGATTGGCTGTGCACTGATAGCGTTTTCCAGGAATTGTCTTTCATGTTGCCATACTTGTTTGGCTATACCAGGGATGTCCAACCTGCAGCCTGCACTGTGGCCCATTTAATATTTTTATGCGGCCCACTGCACCCTACATTTTCATTTGTTTTGGTAAAGTATATCGTAAAAATTATTCTCGTTTCACTGGATACACTTTGATATTGTAATGACATAATTGGTGCTTGAAAACTGTACTACCCCATATGCATAATAAACTGTTGTAAACATTTCTTTTTGTGCATGAAAAACATCAGAACTGCTGAAAGAAATAAGTTGAGTGATTTCCATTTAACTAACATTCTTAGAATTAAGACTAATACCATAAAAGCAGATACAGTAATACCTCGACTTATGCTACCCTGACTTACGCAAACCTGGAGTTACGCGATTTTCAAATCTCGTCGATTTGTGTTTTGTTTGAGCGCCACAAAACTCTTGTTTACTCACTCCCGCCACACTATTGTTCAGCTTACATGTACGGACGTGTTGCGCGGAATCGACACATAGCTACAATTTATTTTGTGTTATTTATTTCTGTGTTTGTTATATCTACGGAGACTCAAGAGACTATGTGGTGATTTCTTGTAACCGTGAACGAATCAAGACGATATAAGATTAATGAGAACATTTATTAGCTTACATACATCCGACTTGGATTTTACACAAATTGCAAAATTATACCCCGACTTACGCGAATTCAACTTACGCGGTTATTGCTCGGTTCCACCTATCGCGTAAGTTCGGGGTATTACTGTATTGACAATATTATAAAAGAAAGGCAATGTCAAAAATCGCATTAAATTTATTTTTATTATGTGTGAGTATAATTTATTTTTTTACTATCAATAATACGTTATTTTATATAATAATATATATTTGTTATTAAAATTTGATATTCAAATTTTGAACTTTTTAAAAGCATATACAGTGGTACCTCTGTATACGTCTGGTTTAGAATACGTCTAATTTGGAATACGTCCTGTTTGGACGAAACAAATTTTGCTTGGTATATGACTTAATTCAATTATACGCTCCATCTATGAACAAGTAGCACTATCAGTGTACTAGAATAGACTAGACATTCGTGGTGCCACAGTTTATAACTTTGTTAAATTTCTTCCGATTTTAATTTGTAAGTAAAATTTTATTATTTTTATTAATCATGAATTACAAAAAGGCAAGTGAAAAGCAACAGAAAACTAAAAAAAAATGACTAGAATCACAATAGAACTGAAAAAAAAGATTGCTGAGGAATATGAAGGTGGCGCGGCCGGATGGCCGAGTGGTCAGGGTGACAGCCTACCGCTCTGGGGGACCCGGGCTCAAATCTGAACGGGTTGTAAAATCCCCAGGAATTTTTCGGGGGGTGGTTCGTTCGGATATGTTGGGCTCCGTCCCTCACCACCTGGCAGCCCCATTGTCAGCCTGGCTGAACCCATAATGGGCTTGTGAAAAGAGGCCTCTTAGTGCCCACAGGGCAGAAAGAGTTAAAAAAAAAAAAATGAAGGTGGCATGCATGTTTGAGATTTAACTGTTGCATACCGTATTCCGAGAAAGACGATATCGACAGTCGCAAAAAATAAAGACATTATTAAATCTGCTAACATTGCAAAAGAGGTTAAATCAATTTCTAAACAGAGATTGATGACATTAGATTATGTTGAGAAATTGCTTTTGCTTTGGATAACTGAAAAACAGTGTGCTGGAGACAGTGTATCAGAAGCAATTATTTGCGAGAAAGCTAAAAAGATACATGCTAATCTCATGAAAAATCAGGCAGGAACTAGCCAGGAAAGCGAGGTGTTTAAAGCCAGCCATTTTTTTACATGAGAATGGATTAATCATTTTTACATTACTTCTTATGGGAAAGGTTGGTTTGGTATACGTCCAATTCGGTATAAGTCCAAACATTAGGAACGGATTAAGGTTGTATACCAAGGTTCCACTGTATTTATATAAAGTACCTTTGTGGCCTGCTGAATGTATCTAAATTTCTAATTTGGCCCATTAGGAAAAAAGGTTCGACAACCCTTGGCTATACCTTGTAACCACACCAGGCAATGCTTTGCGGTACTGGGTATGTACCAATTTGCCAATTTGTATGTTAATAAAAATATTGACTGACTACTTATTTGTTTGGCTTGCCTGGTCTCCACATTTGCTGTCCATTAAGCATTTGTGGAACAAGATAGGACACCAGCTTCAACCATATGAATAGAGAGATTTGGAGTGACAGATGCAATATTTGTGGAAAAATATGTTACAGGATAGCATACAATGTCTGTAGGTCTTCATACCTGACCATATTGTTGCATGCATCCAGGTAGGAGGAGGTTCCATAAGATTGATTTAAATTGTAACTCTCATATCAAAGACTCTCTTTGACATGAGAGGTACAATTTAGAATAATCTTTGCTACGATATTTTAACCACTTACTACAGTTTTCATTATATTTGCACTAATAAAGTTTCATTTGATTTCAACATTTCCTCTTCCTTCATGTGTAAGTTTTTTTTGTAAATGAGCATAGATTTTAAGAGACAATTTCATCCAGACAATAAAATAAGATTAATTTTTTTATGACTTTGTATATATTAATAGATCAGTGGCTAAACTTTTTGAATAGATGTTCCCATTTTAGCAGTTTTTTGACTTCATAGAAAGGTTCTTTCACCATACTAGGGAGACAAACACATGTCAGTTTGAGGTCCATGTTGTAGATTGAAAGTTAAATGAGTTTCAGTTAATGCATGATTCTCTGGAAATATTTAAGTAGATAAGCTGAATTTTATTGTTTACATGCTATTGTTAAGAACTCAAATTAATATTTGTTATGCTGTTTAAACATATTTATTTTCTATTTAAATAAAACTTTAAAATGGCATACTTTAAGCAGAACTTCAAATTATTTTTCAGGATGAATTTTATCTAATTGAATATAATTATTATATANTTTCTAAAATTTGTAACCCCTTTTCAATTGAACTGAAGCCTTCTGTCAAGTTTCCATCATTCGATCTTCTGATTGAACTGGGTCTAAAGAATCAAGTTCTTCAATGTCTCTTGCTCGCACATTTTTATGAGTTCATCAATTGTCAGCTCTTGATTGTGGGAATCTAGCAGTTCTTGAATGTCATCACTATCTTCTAAATTAATTTGCCTGGCAAGATTGACAACTTCTTTAATCACATTATCAATTTCATCAGGCTCTGGCACTGATTCCACCTGAATTTCAGTGGTGAAAAAAAAGGACACAGTTTTTTTTCAGACACCACTTAAAGTTTTTTGTGAAACTTTATTCCAAGATTGTCCAATGATTCTCACTGCATCTAAAACATTGAATTGTTTCCAAAACTCTTTAACAGAGAGCTCGTTGTTTTGTCTCATAGCTTCATGCAGATGTGCAAACGATCGTCTCATGCAATGAGCTTTGAAAGTTTTGATGACTCTGCGATCCATCGGTTGAAACAAGCTGGTTGTATTTGATGGCAAAAATTCAACTTTTACACGTGGGTCAAAATTAGATAAAGTTGCAGGGAGATGACCTGGTGCGTTGTCGATTATTAGCATCACTTTAAATGAAATTTGTTTAGATTGGCAATAATGTTCGACTTCAGGTATGAAGTGATGACCAAACCAGTCCTCAAAAAGGGAAACTGTCACCCAAGCCTTACGATTCGACTTCCAAATCACAGGCAAGCCAGCTTTAGATTTATTTTTCAATGCTCTTGGATTTTCCGAGCGATAAACTAAGAGAGGTTTTAACTTACAATCACCAGCTGCATTCGCGCCAATCATCACTGTCAATCGATCTTTGGCAGCCTTAAAACCTGGAAAGATTTTCTCTTCACGCATGATAAACGTTCTTTTAGGCATCTTCTTCCAGAACAGGCCAGTCTCATCTATGTTGAATATGGTTTGGCTGGTATAGCCACCTTCATCTATCATAGCTTTGAATTTCTCTGGATAGTAAGACGAAGCCTCTTTATCAGCACTTGCCGCCTCTCCACTTTCTGCAATGCTATGTCAATTACAGCAACTTTTGAATCGGCTGAACCAACCGTTACTAGCTTTAAACTCTTCATCTTTAGCCACCTCTCCAGCATCCTCTTTCAATCTTTCAAAAATCAGCTTAGCTTGAGAGCACACAGTGTTCCGATCAACAGGACAATTTTTCACATTTACTTGATTATCACACCATAATTTTAACATTGTTTCCATCTCAGCGATAATACCGTGATGTTTACAAATGATACTTAAATTTAAAGATTGAGCATTTTTCACAGTTTCGAGAATTTTTTCTTTACCTTTTATAATTTTTCTGTCTGTCAATTCTGGTAGATCAAACTTCTTTGCCAATTCACAAATTTTCATTTTTGTATCGAAGTCTCTAACAATGTCAACCTTACATTCCAAAGATAAAGTTTTTCTTTTCATGTTTGATGCAGAAGAATTAGTTCTACTTCGTTTGGATGACATAGTACAGTCTCTCAAGTCTCTGTAGATATAACAAACACAGAAATAGATAACACAAAATAGATTGTAGCTATGCGTTGATTCCGTGTGACACATCTGAACATGTAAGCTGAACAATAGTGTGGGGGGAGTGAGTAATCAAGAGTTGTGAGGTGCTCAAACAAAAGATAATCGACGAGATTTGAAAATCGTATAACTCCGGGTTCGCATAAGTCGAGGTATTACTGTATATAAATTGGAGTTTATGTTGTTTATTAGAATAAAACTAGAAATAGATATTAATTACTTGTATGATTTAGTTTTTGAAATGAGAAACTAATTGTGTTTTTGTTCTGATATGACTTATTACTTCGTCACTGTTACACAATCTTTCCATTTGATGAATGGATTCATATATTATTTAGCATTTTTAGATATGCCTCACTCAAGAATATCTTACAATGAAATTAAAACCAAATTCACATTTTACCAAGTGTCTTTCTATTTGCATTTTAATTATAGTAGTATCCATTAATATTTTCATTTATGTATTGTATCTTAATATTTAACTATTCCGATATTAACAACAAACAAATATAACTTAAATTTTAAATTTATAATAATTTTATTTTTAGTTATTCTATGTTATAAAAAATATAGATTAAGATATAAATACAAGTTTTTTTTAAATAAGAAAGAAATTTAAAAATGCTATCCCATTAATTGCTTAAAATAGACTCTTTTATAATTATGTGCAATTTTTTCAGAATTGTTTCGATTTCCCTGAAGAACCTGCATATAATGTATCAGAAGAGGCTAAAGATTTAATAAGGAGATTAATCTGTACAGCAGAGAGTCGTTTTGGACAGAATGGTTTAGATGATTTTAAAAATCATCCTTGGTTTGCTGGAATAAACTGGGACAATGTTAGAGATAGTATGTAATTTTTTTATAATTAACATGTTTAATGCTTTGATAAACTAAATGTTTTAAAATATTTTTTTGTATATTACTTAAATTTGTAAACAGAAAATCACATATACATGATGAGCTGTATTTTAAATTTAGAGATTAAAGAGGAATCATAATATGTATAAAGTATAAAAATATTAATTAAATCTACAAATAAGAAAATTTGTGATTTACCTTTGTGAAAAAATTCAAGTTTCATATTGAAATAATGAAAGTATGTGTAACTAACAATTCCATGGATAAAGTGATGGTAAAAATAATGCTTTAATATCAGAAATAATCACAAATACAGTAGACCCACCCCCCTATAAAACGGGTTCATATAGTTCAGATTCCTATATGACGGAGAAAAAATTGCAACCGTATTCGGATAAACACGCTAAAAGAGACACGTATAATTCAGTAAAACATCATCGCCAACTCGTGTCGCAACAGGATTGGTCGAATCTAGACCAATAGTGGACATTGCACAAACTGTTGAGTTTAAACGAGCAGCGGACCTACTAAAAACTATTTATTATTTAACGTCCATAAAAATTATATCTATATTAATGATGTCTCCAAAGTTCAGCAAAGTTTTCGCAGAAAAATAATTTATCAGGAAGCACGCGAACGCCATTCGATGCACTGCTCCACGACGAAAACAAGCTTAAGCAATGGCGTCGTCGAACGGTGTACACTTGGTAAGTAATCCTACAATTTTTTGTTTATAGCAGAGTTTATATGGATTATTCCCAAAAAATTATACATATTTTGGAAATGTTCAGTCGAATTAGTCTAGAATCAATTAATTTTATGGAAGAAAACCTTTCAAACAACTGTAGTCTGTAAACTGCATACATGACGGGCTGTGATTAGCTCATGTATTTAAGGACTCTTAGAACATCAATTTCATAAAGAACGGAACATATCTACCTTGTTATAGGGGGGTCAACTGTACAAGGAAAAAAATGCATTTTAGTGTATTTGAATAATTTAAACTCATTATAATGAATTCTTATGTGAGATTCCAGACTGAACTTGTGCATTTTTCCAACAAATTTTTAATTTCTTAGCTAGAGATACTATTTTAAAATTCTTAATAAACAATAGATTATGAAACAAGACATTTCCCACAGCATTAGCAAGCTTTATTCTTTTAAAATAATAGTAACAGGTAAAGAGATGCTTAAATGACAAGCTTCAACTACCCAATGAATCTTAGTTACGACTCTAGACTTATTTGCATTTATTAACATTAGTCTTTTTTAATAATGCTGGCATTTCTACACAAAAATCAGATTTCTTTTAAGAACTCAACAATGTCATGAAAGCTGCTATTGACTACAAATAAATTACCAATACAGAGTAACAATTTGAATTTTTTTTCTAGTTGAAATAATATGCTTTATGATTGATACATCATTGACCTTTGCTAGATATATGGCTAACAGTTTGCACAAATGTGTGTGGTTTTCTTTGGTCTAAACCAGTGTTTCCTAACTTAAACTCTGGATGAATCCATTTTCGAATTGTCCCCTGTGGGGTATGGGCCCCACGTTGGGAATACAGGTCTAAATTAGCTGGTCTAAAGTTAGCTGTTGATAAGGGAAATAACAAACTTAATAATTCAGTTTGTCTTGCTGTAATTTTCTCATTTTAATTCATCAACTAATATAAATAAGGATTATTTAAATTCAGTTTTTACTTCTTTACAGATATTTCCAATTAAATGCTTTTTAAAGAAAAGAATGTAGCTAAAATATCATATGATAAATTGTCTTAGTAAAACTAAGAAAATTGTAACTGCTACAGTTTTGTTTTAACAAAAATTAAGAAAATACATGTTTTTAAATTAAAAATAATTGTTTTAATATTAGATGGGATTCTTTAAGGAAAAAAGCTATACCTCATTTGCTAGCTTAGTTTGTGTGTTATTTTAGTACTAGTTTAAAGCCTTCACTTTAGTTTTAAACATTATACTTTACTCTGTCTAGCTTTTATGTAGCTGGATTACTTAAGGTGTATGCTACAATTCAGGTTTTTTTTTAGACCCATGGCTTTGCAGCCTACAAACTGCATGACAACATTAATTGCAGATGGAGTAGTATTACCTTATGTACAGTACACTGCTCAAAGGGATTCTTCTTTTCTCTTCTTTCTATCTTTTCACCCTCCTCCTTCCCTTCCCCACTTCCCCCTTCTTCTGCTGGCTAAACACTTAGTGTAGGGACATTGACTTTTGTTAAAATAAAAAAAAGCCTCATTTGGTAGTGCCTAGTATACAAAAAAAAAGTAAGGAAAAAACGATTATAAATGTGCATAACTTTGAAAGGGTTAAAGAAATTGAACTGAATTTAAAGCAGAATAATGTTAGTCTTGTATGCTATCAATAACCAAACAATTAAAAGGATCTAATTAGCACCATTCAAAATATTTAAAGTCAAAAATTTTTTGTTTTTAATTTTTTCAAGGGATGGCTGTGCAATAGGGCCTGAAATTTGCATGGATGTCATTTGGATTCAAACAGATATTTTTGCAAAGTTTGTTGAATTTTGAGATGGGTCCCAGATTTCAGGTAGTTAACTGGTAGTAGTCTTTATTGTAAGTTTAATGTTAAAAATAGATAGTTACTAATACTATTACAATTAAAAAATAATTAAAACAATCACACTTTTAATAACTATTAGAAGTGTGATTGTTATAAGTAAAAGAAGCATAAATACAGTGAACTGCCATTAACAGACACTCCCAGATAGCAAGCACCTCTGCTTAACAGACATTTTTACAATCTCCAGACACTTCAAATAGGACATCTATTATATTTACCTTTAAATGGTGGACACACTAAATAACAGATGCTGTCATCCATAACCAACCTTACGAAAGCACAATGTTCTGCCTTTAATATTCTGAAAGAATTAATTACATATGAAAAATTTTAAAACAAAAACAAAGAATTGGTTCGAATACTGTTTCGAATGACAAATTTTGATCATAGGCATTGAATAAAGACTGGCTTAATAGAGGGATAGGGGAGGAGGGCAGGTTATAAGAAGTCGAACAATATTCTTTATCTGTTAGAGAAGTTTAATCTGGTTCAGTTGTCAATCACCATTTATTATTATACATATTAATGTTATTAAACTTGTCTTATTGTTGAAATTAAGCTTATGATGCCAAAAAACTATAAACTTTTTCAAAGTTATTCATTCATTCATTCGAAAATAATCATAGTATTGTAGTAATAAAAAATAAACTTAAGATCATAAATGTGAGAAAACCAAATATCTTCCCACACTTTAAAGTGGTTGACAAATTACCTTCATAACACGACCTTTGAACTTTCACCAAACAAATGCTGTTGCTGTCATAACTGTTTTAACAGCTTTGTGGTGGTTAAAGTGCAATTTTTAATAAATTAGTTACTGAAAAAAGCAAAAATGTTTGAAAAGTTACACCTACTGATAACTACAAAGCAGACAAATCCCTGTAATGATTTTTATTGTTTGCTTAGATCATAAATGACGTTATAAATGTAACAATTTCGAATATATTTCCCACTCTGGAGTGGATAATAAATTACCTTCATAACTTGACATTCAGACAAGTTTTAATTAAAATGAGATTTTTACAGCTGAAAAAATAAATAACATATTATATATGAATTTTAATTATATATGCTATGTATACTTTTTGGTATATTCACATTCTTAATGCAAATTTGATGTTTTCGTAATCCATTGTATTTGCCACTTTATAATGGCTGGGTTAAAATACAGTGGTACCTCGGTATACGTCTGCTTTAGAATACATCCAATTCGGAATACGTCCGGTTTGGACGAAACAAATTTTGCTTGGTATGCGACTTTTGCTCGGTATACGACATAATTCAATTATACGCGCCATCAATGAACAAGTAGCACTATCGGTGTACTAGACCAGACTAGACGTTCGCGGTGCAACGGTTTATAACTTTGTTAAATTTCTTCTGATTTTAATTCGTAAGTAAAATTTTATTATTTTTATTAATCACGAATCGCAAAAAGGCAAATGAAAAGTGACAGAAAACTAAAAAAACGACTAGAATTACAATGGAACTGATGAAAGAGATTGTTGAGAAATACGAAGGTGGCACGCATGTTCGAGATTTAACGAGATTTAACTGTTGCATTCCGTATACCGAGAACGACGTTATCGACAATCGTGAAAAATAAAGACATTATTAAATTTGCTAACGTTGAGAAAGGGGTTAAATCAATTTCTAAACAGAGATCGAAGACATTAGATCATGTCGAGAAATTGCTTTTGCTTTGGATAACTGAAAAACAGTGCTGGAGACAGCATATTGNATGATAATGAGGGGCTACTTTATTTTAAAAATTTGCATTATTTTAATCTTTCTTGTATGGGAGAGCACTTATTATCTACATGACATTTGCCTGTAAAGCTGATTAATAAAAATAATATATAAATAACTTTTATATTAGCAGAAGAATTTATTTTTAATAATGGTACAGAGATGTCACTGAATAGTTACTGTGTCATTATATTTACATTGACACAAGCAGTCAGTGCCAAGCTAGCACGTATAAGAGCTTGCCTGCTCTTATGTGCAAGGTATGTTCTTATAATCAAAGCAGGACATGTTTCAAAACTGCAAAAACAAGCAATTTTTACATATAAGAGAATGCTCTTATATGTCTGAAAATACAGTAATATGTTAAGATGGATGTTTATAAGTACAAAATCATAAAAACAATTTGTAAGTAAACAAACTTCAATTATATTTCAAATATTATTGGTTGAAACATGACCATCTTAATTCAGGAATATTAGAAAATTAAATGAAATAAAATATAAATTTAAATGAAGGTTGTTCTTGTACAGACAAAGAATGGATTTTAGACAAATTAATGAATATGAAAAGTACATTAAGCTAAAGTATCAAGAAAATTTTGAAAAAATTTCTTAAAAAAGTGGATGTTTAAGAGAATTTCTTGAAAACCATAGGTTGATATTATGAGATGGTCTGGGTGGGGTTTCTGGTGTGAAAAAGTAGTTACAAATATGTAGCCAAATTTTGAAGAAGAATAAAGTGGATATATTAATCAAAGTTTATGGTGAAGAACAACTCCCAAAAAAGTTATTGTTTCCAGTGGGCAACAAACATTTTCAATATCCCAAAGGGTAATGTAGGGTTTTTCAATGAAAATAAATTTAGTCAATTCATAGATCTGTTGTGATAATAGATATTATATATTCTGTTACACAAATCTTAAGTTTTCTCATTCTAAATCTAAGTGATGGTTTCTACATATAGTGTTATTTTATAATTTAATGGCTGCTTTAAGGGAACCAATAGACCTCAGATTTTTCTTGTGTGAGAAGGCAGTCTCTGACATTGGATAGAATGCCATAATTAACAAGATAGAGATATATTGTAGATAAGAAATAATTAGAAGTGAACTAAATCAGAATTTACACATTAACTGGCTATAATCTTTAATACAGTAAATATAATAAACCAATAGTAACTGAAACTTATACCATTTTCACCCTTTTTGTCAATTGACTTTTAACTGGAAGAATAATTAAATTGCATAAATATTCATAATGACTTTTATATTGTAACTTTTATATATATATATATATATATAGGNTTGGTATAAGTCCAAACATCAGGAACAGATTAAGGTCGTATACCGAGGTTCCACTGTACAATTTGGCCATTGGCATGTACCTCCAAATAATGGACACCTCTAAATATCGAACAAATTTTTTGGTCCCTACACTGTCTGTTCGGTGATTATACTGTATATGTAAATTTTACTTCATTTATTTATTATTTTTTGACAGGTGAAGCACCTTACATTCCTGAGGTAAGCAGTCCTACAGATACTTCAAATTTTGATGTTGATGAAGCTGATTTTAAAAGTTCAGTAAGTCTCTCAGTTTTTTCTATTCTTGAAATAAATCACCAATATATAATTTCATAATGAAAAAAAAATATTTGAAAATTTTAGGATTCAGTGCCACCTAGTACAAATTCTATTTTTTCTGGTTTGCATTTGCCATTTGTTGGATTTACATTTACTTGTGGAAGGTAACTTTTACTAAGTATTTTTAAAGTAATTATTTAATACATTTAATATGCAAATTTAGTGTAAAATATAAGTTGTCTTTTTTTTAGTAAATAGTTTATAATAATTTATGCTAATATCAACATTAGAAATTTATGATTCGAAAAAATCAAGTGGAATACATTTGATAATTTCTGTTAAATGTATTTAAAATGTATTTGTTTGTTTGTGTATGTGAAAATGATTATAAAAAAGCATACTGCCTGATAAATAATCTGGCAGTTTATTCATTGTATTTAATAGAATTATGTTGGTGTTTACATTGATTATAAAGCAATACACACACACACACACACACACATATATATATATATATAAGTAAACATAATAATAAGTCCTCATTTTGACAGATAATGATTTTTGGGAGTATAGGATTTCAAAATGGGAATTTTCTTAATGTTGATTCATGTATGATTACAAATATATTCCTTAAATATATATTTTATCTCCCAGATGACAAAACTTAGCTTATCAGTGAATTTGGGAAAAAGAGCCAGTGAATTGCCATTTCTAAAGTTTTTATTCAAGCTGAGAATTTTTGTATTATTAAACTTTCTAAAATTCTGACTGCATATCCATTGGAATGAACAAAATATATATACATCTAAAAATTTTCTAAAGGAATTTCTTCATATTTTAAATATAATGTTTTTGATACATACATACAAGAAAGACTTCAGCCATACATGAGGTGTTTAGCCAGCGGAAAAGAGGGTAAGTGAAAGGGGAGGAGAAGAAGGAAGGAGAGGAGATAGATAGTAGAGAAAGGTGTATGTATGGCTACAGTATCTTCTATGATTGATGTTGGCATGCAGTTTTTAGGCTGCAAGGCCTTAGTTCCCTGAAGGGTCTAAGAGAAAACATGAGTGTAGCCAACACCAATGATCCAGTGCTGCCACGAATAGCTAAGTGTAGAAGTTAGTGCCAAGTGGCTGTTAGTAGGAAGACTTATAACTACTTAATGCTAATGAAACTGAACATGAGTGTGAATCTTAATACTACCTAACAGCAAGACAGACAGTGAAAAAAAAAAAAAAAAACAAACAAACACAATGACAAACTAGATGAGACGAACAGATGGACAAAAGACAAACACGCAATATCCCGATTTATTTATTTATTTATTTATTTTTTTTTTTAAATTTAATTTTATTTATTAATTTTTTTTTAAACATTAACTTACTCACTAACTAAACTAACCTACCATAACCTAGGATGAACCTAAGCAGTAATCAAGCTAAGAGTCCCTGATCTAACTTACAACTAGGACTAACTTAAACTAACCGAATTTGGACCAAAAAGAAGACCGAATGTAAGAACTAAAATACAAAGTTGAAAGCAGCTATATATTGAAAGTTGAAACAAAGCAAAGGAAAGATAATTGCCATCCATGTTCTTGGAGCGAGTGCTCTCAAGGGACCCACTAAGGGATATAAATGCGAATAGATGATGGAACATTGTACATGTGTGAATGAGTTGATGTGGGTGTTGAAGGTCAGTTGTAACCTTCAAGAATAGCAGCTCTCATTAAACTATCCTTAATGTGATTGTACCTATTGCAGCAAAAAACTAGGTCAAGTGGTGTTTGGTCCTCCTGAATACCACAATCGCATTGTGGATTGTTTCCAAGGTTAAATCTATGCAGGTATTGCTTAAAGTTGTCATTTTTATGATACAAACAAAAGTAGGAGGGACTAAGTCTTCTGATTGCTTTATAATTTGAAATGATTGAGATAATAATAATAATGTACTGAATAAACAAAAGAATAGAAGAGGAAAAAATCTATAGAATTTGTGCTTTAAGAGAACTAGTGGGCATGTGATGCAGTCATGCCACTAATCTATATATATAAAAATGAATGTATGTCTGTGTGTTTGTCTGTGTGTCTGTCTTATGTCCTTCATGCATTACCACACCGTTTATCCGATTGCCATGAAACTTTGGGAAGTTGTTTAATATACTCTCGCGCAGGTTTCTGGTCGTATACCGAGGTTCCACTGTACAATTTGGCCATTGGCATGTACCTCCAAATAATGGACACCTCTAAATATCGAACAAATTTTTTGGTCCCTACACTGTCTGTTCGGTGATTATACTGTATATGTAAATTTTACTTCATTTATTTATTATTTTTTGACAGGTGAAGCACCTTACATTCCTGAGGTAAGCAGTCCTACAGATACTTCAAATTTTGATGTTGATGAAGCTGATTTTAAAAGTTCAGTAAGTCTCTCAGTTTTTTCTATTCTTGAAATAAATCACCAATATATAATTTCATAATGAAAAAAAAATATTTGAAAATTTTAGGATTCAGTGCCACCTAGTACAAATTCTATTTTTTCTGGTTTGCATTTGCCATTTGTTGGATTTACATTTACTTGTGGAAGGTAACTTTTACTAAGTATTTTTAAAGTAATTATTTAATACATTTAATATGCAAATTTAGTGTAAAATATAAGTTGTCTTTTTTTTAGTAAATAGTTTATAATAATTTATGCTAATATCAACATTAGAAATTTATGATTCGAAAAAATCAAGTGGAATACATTTGATAATTTCTGTTAAATGTATTTAAAATGTATTTGTTTGTTTGTGTATGTGAAAATGATTATAAAAAAGCATACTGCCTGATAAATAATCTGGCAGTTTATTCATTGTATTTAATAGAATTATNTCGGAAAACCTGATTTATTCGTGTACGCATCAGACGGAAAAACAAAAAATATCGTGTATCCACGAGCACTCCAATAAATAAATAGAATTGAAACAACACTTTGAAATGTTTTCCCGATGAAAATGAATAATAATAAGTTTCAATAAAAAATGATAAAATGTAAATTTCGAATTTTATTATAACGAGTTTGCTTGAATTTTGTTTCTTCTGAGATCACAGCAATGCGCGACGGGTAAGCTATTATAATATATACATGATATGGTTTTTATTTAATTCCTTTCGTGTTTTAATGTGGATTGTATTTGTTTTTTTACAGTTAAATAATTACAGTGTAAGCAAAAAGTTCATGAAAACTTTAAACATTCAATAAAAAAATGGAAGAATTATTAGAATGAAATGCAATTTGTGTGGTAAGTGTATAAGTAGTGTGTGTTGTAATGTTTTTGTTGACAGGAAAAAATTAGCTCTAAGAATTACCAACAGGTGGTGTTGACATACAAAAGAACATGATTAGATGTGCAAATGACAACGAAAATGACTCATTGTGATTTCTGATTGTGGGAGTATTTAAATTCTTGAGTGTTTCGATTAGGTCCTTCTACATTGTTAAAATTGAAAAACATCCATCCAGACATGCTGCACTCTGCAGGCATTATTACTTGGCTAAGTTCTGTTATATCCTGAGGCCATGTTACACTTTTTTAAGAAATGCATTGAAAATTAATTTCCTTTGTATGTCGACACCACCTATCAGTCATTTTTGGAACTAATTTTGTCCCATCAACAACCTTCCTCCCCATACTGAAAATACTTAACATGCCAACTGCATTTCATTTTGATAATTTTTTAATTTTTTATGAATGTTTAAAGTTTTTATGAACTTTTCACCCACTCTGTATAAGGATCTTTGGGAATCAGTGTATGGGATCATCCATAAGTTATGTAATACCATTTTTATACTTCTCAATGCCATCCCACTCACTGTAATGTTTTATAATATATTGTAATCTAATCCCTAAAATTACACAATTCATGCTCTAGATTGGGTGGCGAATATTTTTGAGCCTGTGTGCTATATAGTAAGAATACTTTAGCTTTAAAGATGTTTATGCATGCTAAAGTTTTAGACTTCAAATAACAATGTTTAAATAAATTAATCAAAATATGCTTTAATTAGAATAAATGTTAAAAAGCTGATTGATAAAAAAAGGATGTTCATGTGTTAGTACATACAAGTCAGTAACATAAACAGTATTGTTTACTATGTAATTCTTTGTAAACAAAAAAGAATCATTCTGTTATCCAAGGGTTGAGATCCTAGCATTACATAATGTTTTTGTAAACACTCCCACCCCTCTTGTAATGCATTATAATAATTATCTGCATACTTTATTTTAAAGCCTTTTGAAATATAAAAGAACCAACTTTTTTATATTTCAAAAGGCTTTTAAAATATAACATTTTAATATAGCTTTAATTATAGCTTTATAAATAATTTAAAATTTTTACTATTGCATCAAAGGGGAACAGTTATGGTCAGCTTTTGAAAACACTAAATTCGAATCTTACACCTGAATGATGGGGAATGCATTGAACAACATTCCTTGTATTGCTAAGCAATCTGCACAGCACATACTGGTTTGTTCCCACAGGATGAATAGATGCTTTTTCATTGGGCTGCAATTTGAAAAAATTGTAGACCTATAAATTCCCACTGTCATCCATCTGTCTGTCTGTCTGTCTTTCCTTAATCTCAAGAATGGAGTTAGATGAAAGACAAGATCAGATATGGAAACCTTATGGGCAGGAGGCCTCAATTAATTGTGTTTCTGTTGTTTTGTTTTGTGTAGCACCATTTATCCTGTAGCAAACAATTTTGGAACTAAAGTTTTTCTTTGCAGTCTTTTTCCACATTCTTTGAATAGCATGCACATAAATTTTGGTGTCAATCAACTAATTGATTGGGCTACAGAATCATCTGAATAGGAAAACTTAATTATGATCATCTAATATATAACGCGAATAGGTATTTGATTTGTAAAAATAAGGAAAATTGAGTAATAGATAGCAATAAAATAAATTTATTTTAAGATTCATACATGGAGTGTTTTCAGAGAAATATATTTGTATAATATAAATTTATTGAATTATCATTAAGAAAATATCAAAATTTTGAAAAATAAAAATGAATTACATAGACTAAGATTTATGATGCATTGATTAATTAAAATAATTAATTATATATAGAAAAGTAATTATATTTAGTGAAGCTAAGAAAATGTAAACACAATTCTTAAGTGTTTAAAAAGAGATTAACTGTAATAAAAAGAAATTCATTATTGTTATTACTAGAGCCGAAAATTTTAGCTTTTGGCGAATTTCTCAGCTATATTCGCCTGGAATGAGCATCTTTCAATTAGTACTAATTTAAAAATCTGGTCTCAATATCACTAAGTTTTTTTGGCGAAAATCGGTGATTTTCACCCAAACTGGCAAATTTGGCGATAGGTGGCGAAATCGTTAGTTTCTGTAGCAATTGTTTCCCATGTGCTTTGTGCAAAAATGTCTAGAAAACAGTCAATTGAGTTTAAAATTGATACCGTGATTAAGGAATTAGGTGGCAATATATTTCGCCGTACCAAAAAAACAATTCTCTGTGTTAAGTGCTCTACACACGTCAACTACGAACGTGATACAATTAAGAAACGACTTTCGGAACATCTCAACAGTGCAAAACACAAGAAACATAATACGCTACAGTCACAAACATTGTTGTTTGAAAATGGAAGCGATTTTGATAAAGAAATGGTTGAAGCATTCACCAGTGCAGATATTCCGCTTGAAAAATTAAATAACGAAAAACTGAGATTGTTTCTCGAGAAATATATGAAGAAGCCGATCAAAAGTGTTCCAGGTATTTTTTTATTGTAATTAGTTTTTTTAATGAAACGTTTATTTTATTGAAATTGTTGCTGCTGTTCGCGATTGTGCTCATAATTTAGCTGAAATATGATTTTATTCGAAGTCTCATTGAGTTATTTATTTTTTTAGCACTGCGGGCACATCAAAAAACTATCTTCAACTCAGTAACAGAAAAAATTAAGGACGAAATTAATGGACACGATGTCTATTTCATTGTTGACGAAACTAGTGACAAAGTGCAACGTAAAGTGGTCAACGTGCTTGTAGGAAAATTGAATGGCCAGAAAGCAAAATCAATGTTAATTGATGTGACATTTTACTCAACAGTTGACAATATTATAATACAAGAATGTATACTCAACGTGTCTAGAAAATTGTGGCCAAATGATTTAAAATATTCAAAACTGAAGTTAATAGTGACAGTTTGAGCAAAATACGTGATGAATGCAGTAAGTGAGATTATCACTCGCTGGGGGTCTTGGTTAAACGCTGCAAAATACTATGTCGATAATTTTGATACTGTTGAGCGCTTAATTTTGAACTATAAACAAAAATCTCATTCAAATGCTAGAAATGTTTTGGTGAAACTATTTCAAGAGAAAAAAGTTAACCTCAAAAAAGAATTATTTGATCTCCGTAATCTTGTCAAGTTATCAACTACAGTAGAACCTCGATTATCCGGACTAATTGGGTATGAAGGTAGTCCGGATAAGGAAAAATCTGGATAATCGAAACGAATACTTTAATTTGTCTTTTAATGATAATATAATATGTTTTCTTTTCGATGACATATCGGTAATATTAAAAGTAAATACTGTATTTAAAACGTGATCAAATTTTCAAGAAACAAACGTTCGTATTGAATTTGGACTACTACTGACCAGTGTTGCCAGATCTCAAGGTTAAAAAGTAGCATGGTTGTGCTCCAAAAGTAGCGGATTTGAACTGTTTGTCGCCCAAACAATAAAAATGAATTATTTTGCAACTATGCACTTTTACTAATGAAATAAGTTTGTAATATATGTATATACATACACAGGGTATATCAGAATGACGTTTTAAAAATTTGGGGATTGTAGAGGATGAAATTTTGAACGTTTTGATATAAAGAACCTACAGCCGGAAATGAGATACGTATAAAGTTTCTACAGCACTTTGCACGTTCTATGAGGTCGGTATGCTGGATGAAACAGCAGAATACAGTATTTATGACAAGTTTTATTGACAAAACAGTAGAGTACAATCAAACTGTACATCGAATCAGTGGCTGCACTACTTTAGAGTAAATGTTCAGTGTGACGACCACCAACTTCGTTACATAATGTGCAACGACGAACCATGTTTTGTCCGACTCTCCGTAAGATGCCACGCTCCCCTCTGATGGTATTAAATGCTGTAAAGATGCGCTCCGTAAGCTTATGAACTGTTCCTACAGGTGTTGC